CGCCATGACTCGGGCCCAGGTCAGTCATCCCCACGCCTCCCACCCCCAGTCCTCCTTCCTCTGCTTGTTGTTTGCAGGTGCATATCCTGCAAACATAATCCCATATCCCCAGGGTCTTATAAGAGGCTTCTTTAATTAAGGCAAACTCAGCAATATTATTTCGAGGGTGAATATGATGTCTGCTGGATATAAAAACCACCCAGTTTCTATAAAACTACTCCACCCTATTAAGTGTCCTGTTTTACAGACTGGGAAATTCGTGTAGGTTCTAGGAACACTGTCATTATCTCCAAACTGTTCAATGAATCTGCCTGATCTGGCACCTTCTGACTCAGACCTCAGTTCCCATCTGAAGGAAGGGTAGCCGTGCTGTTTTATTTTTGTCTTCGTGACAAACCAACATTGAACTTCTGATTGCTAATCCTTTTTTTTTTTTAAAGGAAAAAAATGCACGACTTATTTTGGGTGCTCTTTATTCTCCAGTACAGGATTTTTTTTTTCTACTTTTTAAATAATGCCTGACTGAGGAGAGGGAATTTGGATTGTAAAAAGAGACATAAGAGAAAGTTCTCCATTGGAAAGTAATTCAATCTTCCTGCTACAGAAGCAGGTGCATCACCTTCTATGCCATTGCTATCACCTTCTCAGCCAAAAGCTCCTGAGTGAAAGTGTGAACTCACTTAGCGCTCTTGACTGCATTTAACAGATGAGGAAGTTGAGGCACAACCAGCCTGTCAATAACTAGTTCAGAAAAGGAATAAAATCATGTGAGTGTTGCTCTGAAGCAGGCATTCATATTTCAGTTGAAGACACACATGCATACATTATGCAAGGCATGCTTGACATTTGGTGTTGTAAGATCTGCTGTCCCTGGAAGACAGTGAGTTCCTTCCTCAATAGAGAAAGCATGTGGTCTTCTCACACCACTGATGAAGGGTGAAGGAGGTAGCCTAGACCCAGGCCAGCTCCCCAAATCCACAGGGTTGGGCTAAGAACATGAAGTGGGGTGCAGGATCCCTGCTCAAAACCACCTTTGCAGGAACTTTGACCTCAGAAGAGCAGGAACTTCAACCCCAAAAGAGTAGAATGAGGGCACTTAGTCACTTTGTGGGTGAATATACAGAATTTGAATGAATAGGGTTGAATCTAACAAGTTCCCAGCCAAAGTACCCCCCAACTGAGTCCTGAGCCCACCTCAGGTAGACCATTTAGAAAGGCCAGGTGTGGTACTGTGGGGTGGCATCACCAGAAAAGATCCCAGTGGATCCAACTATTTAGAAAAGCAATGCTGTCAGCCCACATTACACACCAGCTCTGTGGTGAGTGGGGCTGTGGGAATTGATGGGAATTCATTTTCAACCAGTGCCAAGGTTCAACATGATGGCTTTATTGGGTCCAGTACCATATTTCATTATTACACAAATTTCTTTTAAAGTTAGGGGTTTTGCAAATGTTACTTTTAGCTATTAAAATATATATCCCCCCCCCCCACACACACACACAAGGATATTATTTTGAAATCAAGAGTCAAAACAAAGCATGGAGCCTCCCCTGGTGGCACAGTGGTTCTTGAGCACTGGGTTGCGAGGCTGCCTGCAGCCTCTGCAGCGCCAGTTCGATCCCCGGCCACCAGCAAGGGTCCCACAAAAAAAAAAAAAAAAAAAAAAAAAACAACAAAGCATGGAGGCCAGGATCACATGCCTTCTTATTTGGGGGCTTTGTTTAATATGGGGCCTTGGACAGTGGAACATAAAAATCATTTCTTGGGAGCAGCCTCCTGCCTCAAGGCTCTGAGAGCAACTCCCACACAACTTTCGGAGTTTCAGATCAAGTTACCTGCACCGTTTCCTGAGTCTCTGCCTCTTCTTAAATGCCAAGTCAGTGGAAAATTACATAATGGAATCCCAGTCAAAATGACTTGACATCTATTGGACAATGTCTACAGGAAGCTGACTCAAAATCTGAGGGAAAGAAGGGAAACACACTCTCTTTTTTTAATCTCTTACCCTACTAAAGTTAATGGTCTAGTAACAAAAGCTGGCTAACTTTACTCAAGTTCCTAGGAATCAGGCAGAGTTTTGTATCCGGAGTGTCTCATTTCATCTCCACGACAATCCTGTGAGGTAGGTACAATTCATATTTTCATCATAAGGATGAAGAAAAGGTTAAGAAACTTGCCCAACAAGAGGTTCAGTTAGGATTTAAATGCAGGTTTCTAATCCCAAACTCAGAGCTCATTCACTCGGCCACACTGTGTGTGTGTGTTGTGGGGGAGGGGGGATTGTGGGGGTAAATGTCAGGGTGTAAAATGTCCAACACTAGTGAGGTGTTGGTCCTCAGAAAGCTCATGCCTTGAAGAGAGTCCCCTTCTCACTCCACTCAGGACCCAAATAAACTGGGGATAAAACTACATCGAGCGACACCCAGTGTTCTTCAAAATTCTGCCTTCTCACTTCGTGGTGTGCTCCTCTTCAATGAAATAGGATCTGTTGTTGTAATGGCCACCCCGATTTGCAAAGGCTCCTTGTCGACCCTTTGGGGCTGACCACCAGAGGGCATCACCTGAGAATCCTAAAGGAGCTTCCCTTTTGGGAATGCCTTGTTTGTTCTGTACAAATTAGGAAGCAAGGAGATAGCTTGTATTGGTGCATCAATAAAACTTATTCTTTCCAGGTGTAATAAAGGAGAGATGAAGTCCTAAGAAATCTGACCAGTCAGCCTAAGGAGCCTAAATTCTCCAAGGCTTTCAAGGTCAAAGGATAACAGGTTTTGCTCTCCACCATGTTCCTCCCTCAACCCCAGACAAGCAAAGCAAGGCAGGGAGATGAGGTCCTCTGAGAGTTTCACTCTGCTGTGGTGGGGATTGTAGAGAGAAGTTTCTGGGGTGGCTGTTTGAACAGGAGTGAAGGCAACATTTAATCCCACAGTGGTCTACAGAGACCATAGCTGTAGAACATCTAAGGGAAAGGAAGACACCAGGAAAAAGGTGTAATGAATGGGGAAAAGGCATAATGAATCAGCTCAGAATGGGTCTGGGTCAGTGGTTCTCAAACCTGGCTGATGTCAGAATACCATGAGAAGCTTGTTAAAAATAGAGGTTCCTAATCCCTGCATCACATACTACTCCACCTCTATTTCAGCAGAATCAGAATCTGGAGTTGAGGTCAAGAAATAGGCATCTGAAATAACTATTCCGGTAATTTTCATATCCACCATTGTCCTCGGTAAGTCTGTTTCAATAATGTCTAAAAGGCCAGATCAGGGGTATGTCCAAAGGGCCCCTAGAGATGCTTGAATAGCTCATGGGCTTCTCCAGCTCCTAAATCTATCCTCTGGCAATTTTACGGTTGTTTTTTAAAATCCTAGTTCATTAAAAGAGATACAGATCGAAATTTTTGTGTGTTCATTTCTGTTTTTGTTGTCTTCTTATATGGGGCAGATTAACTAACAACAAACTCCATTCCAAAGAAAAATCCTGCAGGAGATAAAAGATTACCAAACCCCCCTGCTGTGTTTCTTAGAGGGATGCCTTGATGCCCAGCTCAGAGTCACCTGGTGACTGTGAACCATGACAAAGTTTGGCTGGGAGAAGGGAGGAGGCCTTGGGAAACCCGCATTGGTAAAATTCTTAAGCTTTTTTATAAAATTAAAGATGAATAAAAGATCTATTTTTAAATGTACCATGAAATTCACCACTTTAACTTTTTAAAATATACAACTCAGTGGCATTTCATATGTCCACAATGTCACGTAGCCATCAGGACCATCTAGTTCCAGAACATTTCATTACCCCAAAGGAAACTCAAAGCCATTTCTCCTCATCCCCCTTTACCCAGTTCTCATTAACTGGCAGCCATTAACCTGCTTTCTGTCTTTATAGATTTGCCTGTCCTTGATATTTCCCATGAACTGAATCATATAATAAGTGACTTACTGTGTCTGACTAGCAATTCCATTCCTTGATGGATACCCAAAAGAATTGAAAACAAAAACCTGTGTCCCTGAATATTCATTGTAGCACTATTCAAGCTAAAAGGTGGGGGCAATCCAAATGTCCATCAAACTAATGGGTGAAAAAACAGTATCTGGCTATTCATACGGTGTAATATTATTCAATCACAGAAAAGAATAAAGCACTAATTTATACTACAACAAGGATGAACCTCAAAAACATGATGCTAAGTGGAAGAAACCAGTCACAAAGGCCCACATGATGTGTGATCACACTTAGAGACACCATCCTACACGTTTTAACACTTCACTCCATAGCCCAAGATGTTGTTCCAATGTCGTTTTCCTGATCAATAAACAATTGTGGACTGTCCTGGACAGTCTTGTCTCCATCACTATAAGAAAAACCCTGGATCTTCTGCAATATAGTTGTGGAGCGAGATGGGGTAAGAGGGAGGGGGAGCGAAAGTTAGAAAACGTATTCAAAGTAGAGTCATATTAAAATCATATTCAGAGGGAGAAGATACGGGCAAATGTAAAATAACTTTTTCTGAACCTAGGTTGGGTAAAAGTAGACCAGATGGAGGGATGGCCTTGGAGTCTTACTTAAATCACTGTAACTCTGCATTATATATATTTTCCTTAACCAGAAGAGATCATATTCTTATTTTGGATTACACTGTCACCACCAGCAAGATACTTCCTAATTGTTTTTGTCCTGCACCTACTTGACAATTAAACATATCGTATGTAATACGGTTTCATGCAAAAAGACAAATGAAAACTCACAGTTCAGCCTTCCATTATGGTATCTTATTCCGACTATCTGTAAACTGACAGAGAACTGGAGGTTTTTCAAAGTTCCCATCTCCTTAAGATGCTAATAAGCCCTGACAGTATGGAGATCAGTGTTTTCATAAATCTCTGCTTTTTCTCTTTCTTTAAAAGCTCGTTCCAGAGCCATCTCAACAGTTGCATTTTAATACCCGGATTCCAGCTCGGGAGACACGAACAGGTTTCCTGGAGGTTGAAAGGCGTGCAGTGCTTACCGCTTCCATCAGCCCCTTCACCGTGGGAGATTTCAACATCAAGGCATCAAACACATCGTCAGTCTCCTTCCTCACGTACAAGAGCACTGGAAGAGAGGAGGGGGAGCCGTGACTGAGGGAGCCCGGGCCGCTGCCACAGGAGGCTGCTTCCTGTCAGAGGTGTGGGGGACTGACAGTACCTGCTAAGCCTTAGAACCCTGCCCCAGACGACATCCTAGACATCCTACAAGGTGAGACGGGCACCACCAGAGGCAATCCTGACGTGAGGGACAGCGAGGCAGGGTTAATAAACTGACAAGTGGGTAACAACTAAAAGGCTGTAAGATTCTTTCACATATTGTTCACATTTGAATTTCTCAGAGTGCAGACATGACCGCTTTATGACATCTCTTTCTATGACCTCTTTCTTCTAGATTAGTCCCCCTTTAGCTCGGTTTGGCTTCAGTTACCTGTGGTCAACCTCAGTCTAAAAATATTATAAGATACTTTGAGAGAGACCACATTCCCGTGACTTGTCATAGTGTATTGTAATAATGGTCTCATTTTAGCATTAGTTATAGTTATTAATCTCTTATTGCACCTAATTTATAAATTAAACTTTAACATAACATTTATGTGCAGGGAAAGAACATAGACTATATAGGAGGGTTTGGTACTATCTGTAATTTCAGGCTTGGTCCATATAGCCCATGGATAAGAGGGATTTATGTATTCAGTCATTCAACAAATACTATGAATACCCCGCTGAGGCCCGAAGTCCCAGGCAGTGTACTAGGAATGCGGTAATGAGTCAAGATCTGCTGCCCTTAGAGAGGTGTGCATTCCTTGAATAAAAAATGATTAGACAGTTATATGACCTATAAAAGAGAAAGACAAGGGAGTGTTTCTAGGGGCCTGAGCATGCTGGGGGACTCCTGAAGGAGAGATTGACAAAGGGTGTCGAGGCATCCACACAGGCACAGGCCCTGCATATGCACCCTGCCAGCCCTTTCTCTCTCCTTCCTGCCAAGGAGGTGGCTGCTTCTTCTTCCTCCAGAGGCAGGGAGAGGGCCAAGGCTAAGCCGCTACAGGCAGAATTTACAGGTCAAGAAACCCTGCTGGGGCCTCCCTGATGGCAGAAGGGGTTAAGACGCAGTACTGTGAAGCTATCCTCAGCCACTGCCGCCTGAGTTCGATTCCCCACCAGGGAGCTGACCCACATGGCGCAGCAGACTTCTCCAGACTCGCCCGCTGCTTCCCTCAGCAGTGTATTTCAGTCAATTGCCTATTCTGCTCCCCACTCTGTCTCTGGTGAATCCTCTCAACCTCCCCCCCACACACACCTCTGGCCTGTCCCCCAGTTCTTGTAAGCATAAATAAATAAATCTTTAAAAAAAAGAAAAGAAACCCTGCTGGGCCTGGATCCCCACTAGGCAGAAACCAGCTGAGTCACAGCAGCAGCAAACCTAAAGACTGAGGAAAGCGGATCGTGTTACAAAGGCAAAGTCTACATGGGTGCACATGGGCACTGCAGGCACTTTCTACCCACAGTTAAACACGTAGCTGTGTATGACCAAAACCAAAACCAAAAAAACCCTTAAGTGTTATAGAATTTCCTCTCTTCACCAAGTATAAGAATAAAATACCAATTAAATAGATTGTATCGCCAAAGACTTCTAAATTTAGTCCTCTAGAAGGGATATGTAATAGGCACCATGTCAGCCCAAATGATCTAGTGATTAATGTTACAATAAACATTAAACCCCAAACCCTCATTTCAACTAGATGAGGAAAATTAAGGTAAGAGAAAAAGACACACACAAAAAAACCCACAAAAACAAAACCTGTTGGTATCTGTTACTTCTGTAATTTCTTCCTCCAGCCCCCCAACCAAAAGAGGGAAGTTCTAGCAAAGCTGATCCTAAGGAAGCCCCAAACCTATTAAAATGACAACTATTTCCACTGGGTTTGAAAATCTTTGAGGTAGTATAGCTGATGCAGGTGAGGCTGGAAAGGGTTAAAGATGGTAACTGAGGGGTGTTGACAGACTGTAAAACAGGGCAGGGCTGCCCTGTCCCTGATGGGTGCTCAGCACACCCCCACCCCAACAACTCCATGGCAGGGCACTGGTTGTAATGGCTCTGCTGGTGACAACAATAACAACCACATGCACCCCAGACCCTGTACAGATAAAGGCAGACACATTTGGGGGAACCCCTGAGGGACTCTGACAGAGCCACCCTGATGAATCAATTCAAAAGCAAAAACAAATAACAATGGCACTAGTAATAATGAAGATCATTCTCCTGCTTGGAAAGCAACAGAGAGAGGGAACAGTCTCTGACTGATGCCCTGCGCTTGTCAAAGAACAGCTCAAGTGGTAGCCCCAGGCCAGGGCTCAGTAATTCCACCATCCTGGTCCACAGAGAAGCCACTGCTGGGAGAACATTTTCTCTATTGCTAGCAGGAAGCAGCGCCCTCATGTGTTTCTGTGGCTGAGATATTTCAAAGGCCACAGCCTTGCTTTTTGTCACAGCCCAATATAATTCCTAGCAGCAATTTTTGCATTGGCTTAACAACCTTAAAACAATCTGAAAAACATAAACTTTGGATTAGCTGGCACGCACTAAATGTGGGCGCAGGCTATAATTACCTTTTGCCTGTGTGATTCTCAATTTACAGACAGTTCTGCTGTAATTCTAAAGTATGAGACATAAAGGGCAGGTAGAACGGGTTTGATGGTGAGCCTGTGAAGTCAGAAAGTCTCTTAAAGATGAAAATGTGGCTGTGTAATTAACACCACCCAGGTATTTATATGCTCTTTCCATTCTGAAACACGAATTACTTATTTACTATTATGATAGTGCACTTAACTAGAGGCAAGCCTAATAATAAAACTAATAGCTACATTAGTGAACACACAGTGCTTTCCATGTGTGAAGCACTTAAGTGTTTTACACACATCAACTCAGCGATCCTCACAGCAGCTCTGTGGGAGGGTCAACCCAAGTCACAAAAGCGACTCTAAGGAGCGGAGGACCTTCCCCAGGCCAGCACTCTGAATGGTAGGGGTGCAGAGGGGGTGGGTCAGCACAGGGGTCTGCTCTTGATCATTATTAAAAAATCTTATTTCAACAAATAGGAAAAAAATAAAATTTTCCAGTAACAAAATCTCAGGCCTGAGCAGAAGATGGAACATATTTCACATGGCGACCTGAGTCACTCAAACTCCAGCCCCTTGCATGTTGAAGGTCTCTGGGAGCTCTTGGTGTTGGCTACTGCAGGATATGGGGGGGAACAGACACCCCCACATTTTGCCCTTACTCTGCGGAATGGCAGTGAGTCATGCACAGCGGGGGAAGGCTAGCCCAGACATTGGCTCGCTCGAGCTTCTCCCTTCTCTCCTGATGAAGTGGAGTCAGACCCTTGACGGACAGCAAATGAGCTAGTCGTGACGTCACTGAAAACAGACTGGACTCTGTGAGCGGTGGGTCATGGGGTGTCCGCTCAGCGCTGCCAGTGGCTGGTGCTGCTGCATTGCTATTGTCACATTTGCAGCAAGAGCTCCTTTTACCCTGTAGCTCCCTTGGATGAGTCAGGACATTCTGGAGGCAAAGGCAAGAACCAGTGCCCAGAAAGAATAGATGTTTGCTTAAGGTGTTTTATACCGGATGGTCTCACTCATAGCAGGAATCTAGAAAACTTAAATAAGGGACCAGGAAAATGAATAACTATAAGAAAGTGAAAATCAAAATCAACAAAAAACTATGAACCAGAGACACTTTTTGGGGGGTGGGGGGCGGAAGGGGAAGGATTGGGGTCAGAATGGGGCGTTTGCAATTGTATGGGGGAATATAAAAATAAAATTTAATATTTAAAAAAAAAAAAAAACACACAGAAACAAGGAAAAAAAAAAAAATAATAAAGCAAAGGAAAAGACTGTGACAATCAGAAATCCCCAGGTCAGCACCGACCCCCAGGGTCCTGGACTGGGCTAAGCGCTCTTCCTGGTGGAACACCCCCCAACATTCATGACGGGCGGGCTGCTTCAGCAATGCGGCGGACGCCCCAACAGGAGCATACCTCGCTTCATCCCTTCTTCTTTTATCTGTTTAGAAGGCGCTGGACCGAACTCCTCCTCCATGGGCCTGAACATCCGTTTAACAAGGACACTGCTGCTGGAAAAGAGGAGCGGAAGTCTGTTAGGGCAGCGGGCAGGTGCCCAAACAAGGTCCATGCAGGCATCGGTTCCCAGCCTTCCCTTGTCTTATGCCATCCTTCTCCTCAACAGGACCCACTCTCCAGCTTCTTTCCTCCCCCTCGCAGAGCCAGGTCATCCTGTGTGAGGCAGAACACAGACACCGTTCTCAAGGCAGGGGCCCAGGACATACTCATTGTTGAATATGGATCTACCAAGGTGAGACTTCTGGGTTTTGCCCACTGTGTCCTGCACTCAGTTCCTCTTTCCTGCTCAGAAGATCCGGGCTGGGAGGTCGCAGGAGGGAGCCCTGGCGTCAGCATGCTATCCGCGTTACATCGTCCCCTCCCCTGCAGCTAGGATAGGACTGTCCTGCCTGGCACAGCAGGGACCTCTGGAAATGGTACAGCCCTGCCTCTCTGGGTCTCAGGAGGCTGCCCTGGCTTCCCATTTTTCTACCTCTCCATTTGGCAGGGGTGGGTGAGGCTGCAATGGTAGAAGGTCCCTAGAGACCCAGATCTCAGCTGCCCAGTCCTTTCCTCCCCTTGGGAGAGGGCGTCGGTGCCCTTTCTTGGGACCCTGTGGTGCTGAGACCCAGCATATCTTCTTCTGGGTCATTTCTGATAGCTTGTGTTTCCTCACCAAGTTCCCGTAGTTCCTGGGCACTCTAAGCAAGGAGAGGAGTGTCTGAGAGAAACAGGAGTTGGAAGAATAGATTGTCATTGAAGAAAAGTCATGGATGCTGAGTGCTATGGACTGCGTGTCAATGACCATCCCTTCGAATTCATACGTTGAATTCTACCCTCCAATAGCATCGAAATCAGAGGTGTGGCCTTTGAGTGGTAATAGGGTCGTGAGGATAGAGCCCCCCATAATGGATTAGTATTCTTTTTGTGTGTGTGTGTGGGACCCTCGCCGATGGCCAGGGATCGAACTGGCACTGCAGAGGCCGCAGGCAGCCTCGCAACCCAGAGCTCAACCGCTGCGCCACCAGGGGAGGCCCTGGATTAGTATTCTTCTAAGAAGGTGGAGTCCTGTCTCTTTCCGCTGTGGGAGCTCACAGCAAGAGGATGCCACCTGCAAGCCAGAGGAGAGTTCTCACCACACACCCAACACTATGGCACCCTGATCTTGGACTTCCAGCCCAGAACTCTGAAAAATAAACTTGTTTTCTGAAGCCACTCAGTTTATTGTATTTTGTTATAAAGGTCTGAACTAAGACTCCCAAAAATGTTCCTAAATGGAGTCTTACTAATCTTCAGGTTCTGAAAGGAGTAGACACAGATTTTTAGAAATGTCTCCTTTTTTTTTTTTAAAGATTTATTTTTTTATGCATACAAGAGCTGGGGTACAGGCCAGAGATGCAGGGGGTGAGAGGATTCACCAGAGACAGAGTGGGGAACAGAACAGGCAGATTGACCAAAGTACACAGCTGAGGGGAGGTCTGCTGCACCATGTGGGTTGCTCCCTAGCCGGCCGGGGATTGAACTCATGCTACAGAGGCTGTGGATTGCTTCATAGTTCTGTGCTTAACCCCTTGTGCCACCAGGGAGGCCCGGAAATGTCTCCTTTCTTTGGGGATTCCTGGTACATGAATCAGTCACATGAAACTATGCCAGAGAGACAGTTCAGATGAGTTGTTGAGACATGAACCCAGACTACCTTGGTCTAACTCCTCCTTTACAACTTACTGGACAAGGACAAGTTCCTCAACTGCCCTGAGCCTCAGTCTTCCTGTCTTTAAAAAGAGGCTGTTGAGAAGATTAGGGAAGTCAACTTATTGAAGCATCCACAGGCTGCCTGACGCACTGTAAGAACTACTGAAGTATTAGATGCAGAGGATGATGGTGAAGGTGACGATTAAAGGTGGAGATGTAAGAGATATGGAGAGGAATAAATAAGGCAGAGGGTTTAAATAAGGCTCAAGTTATCAGATACCAAACAGCACAAATGACCACTTTAGTCCAATTTAAGGACTAAAGCTGGAAAAGCTTCTGAATGGAGTTTGCTATTATCAATCCCAAGCTTCTAAGAGAATATAAAGCCCTGCTCCAAAGTCAATTGCCTTTTGTCATTGTCATTAAGAGGTTACTTATCAATTACCAAGTAGCGTTAATGGTGGGCCCGGTCATAGAAAGAGCACATGGTACAAGCCACGGACAGTCCACAAAGTATATCGATTCATTCTAATAATTTAAATGATTAAGCCAACAATGTTTTAATTCATGCTTTCATACTTTAGGATGTCCAAAATTATGGATCCAGCAGTACTTGAAGCCAGCCTTGCATGATTATTTCAGGGAAAGCAAGTCCCTAAGGTAAGAACAAGGTTCTATCAGGGAAAAAACTCAGGTCTGAAACATGGGTCTCTGCCCACACCTGAGAAAGGCAATGTTGTTCCCTACCTGCCAGAATGAACTGTACTTGGCACTGGGTGCCTAGTGATGAGTTACCAAAATTAAAGTGCAGGAAAAAAACTGCAGGCCCCATAGAGACATAGTCTATTTCACAACCCTGCTTATGGTCTATATCCTCAAGAAATGGACATTCCTGCAAACTGGTCCAACCACTATGGAAAGCTTTGTGGAAGAGGTTCCTCAAACTACTAAAAATGGAGCTCCCATAAGACCCAGCAATTCCACTTCTAGGAATCTACCCAAAGGACACAAAAACATTTAATTCAAAAGGATACTTGCACCCCTGTTTATTGCAGCCCTATTTACAATAGGTAAGATATGGACACAACCCAAATGCCCAAAAATAGATGACTGGATCAAGAAGGTATGGTACATATATACCATGGAATATTACTCCACAATCAAATAAGATAAACTCATGCCATTCGCAGCAACATGGATGGAGCTAGAAAGGATTATGCTCAGTGAAATAAGTCAGAAGGAAAAAGAAAATAACAGATGGTTTCACTTATAGGAAGAATGTAGGGGAACAAAATAAGGGAAAAAGAATAATAACAATAAATAAAAAAATTAAGAGGCAATTGTAAATCAGAGACATTCTGCAGGGGAGGGAGAGGGATCAAAACAGGGCACGGAAGAGCAAAAGGGACTATGGTAATAGTGCATGGGTAAACTGGTAGTGAGAATTCTATGGGGACTACACCTGAGAGAAAGCAAACATTATACAAAAATATATGTGTGTGTGTGTGTATACATATGTATATATATATATATATGTATTTATGTATATATATATATAAATTATATATTAAAAAAAAAGAAATGGACATTCCTTCCCCATATTGGCCTCAGAAAAGAGATGGACATTCCTTCCCCATATTGGCCTCAGAAAAGAGGCGGTCTTTTTACATGCAGGTCCTCATATAGTCTCTCACGTTATGGAGTAGGATTTCAATTAAGTAATTTGCAACAACAGTTACTCTTTGGGAAAGAAGCCATCATCTCAACACGACTTTAATCACTGCTAGTTTGGGGTATTGATAGAATTCATTTGACAGAATCAGTAAAAACAAGCAAAACAAACCAATGAACCGCACATGTACTTAGTAATGATTATTGTAGTTAAAGCTCAAAATTGCATGTAATACATGCCTATGTCAGTAGGCCCCTGAAGGATCATTTTAAGATGAAATAAAGATAACTTCTGTTTCTAGCTAAGACATAACTTGTGGAAAACCATATTTCAGAAGAAAAAGCAATGTTCCAGCCAAGAAGAATGTGAGAAACTGTATAATTTTTACAATCTTATTGAAGGTATTGGAGGCACTGATGAGTCAGTCAGAACTTGAGGGACTGAGATCTTCAAGAACTGCAGAAAAGCAAGTGAGTCACTTTTCCCCTCAAAGCATTTGCCATTTTTTGACTGGGAGTGGAGGGTGGCAATCCCAGCAGAGGGACACATCTGAGGGCCAAGAAGTTTGCATGCACATGGTACGTGTGCAGTGACTATTAATTGGAGGGAGGGGGGAGAGAAGCATGGAAAGGGAAAAAAAGGGAGGTTGAATGATTACATTAAATTGAATGAATACAATAAAGTAAGATAGTGAGCTGACTAGTCAACAGATAGAGTAGAAATGAAAACTGAAAGAAAGTAAATACCAACCTGAAACTAAAATGTAATCAATTTCAAAAGCGATTACAAAATAAAAACAAGGAGTAAGCAACACACACCACCAGAGAATTCTTTGCCAAAGAAAAAATATGTCATGATTTTACTGACAACCCCAAATTTTATACATGATGCAGATTTGAGTATTACTGAGTGGATTTTTAAATGCAATATCAAAAAATAAAACATAAAAGTATACATCTAAAAAGGGGGGGACTTCTTACAACTGCATGTCATCTACAATTATCTCAAAATAAAAGTTTACTTGAAAGCATAATTTAAAAATTATGCATAATTAAAGCATAATTTAAAGGTAACATTGTGGTAATCGCTTAATGTAATATTTCTTCCCAATGTTATGAGAATCAGTATTTGTGGCTGAGGATAACATTTCAGGGGGCAATCTCACATATATAAATTTCAAAAGTCCTACATCTCAACTTGGGTGACAATGGAAGAGAGCTGCCCTGGTAAACAATGTGAGCTGGCACAAAAAGCAACCTTAGTAATGAGTAAGACACTGATGTCAAAGACAAATTGTGAAACTTTTGAATGAAAGTATTTCCAAAAGTGTGACATTTTTTAATTATTTGATGGGTTTTAAATCTATGTTTAATTAAATTAACAATGTAAGGACTAGTAGATCATTGACTTTTGTGATATGCATAAAGGTTTACCTGTTGGTAAGCATTGGGTCCAACTGGTAGAGTTGGAGATTTTATGTTTTCATCTCCTCCTTGAGAAAATGCCCTATATTTTTAATCATTACCTTCACGCATTTGTAAGAAGACATAACCCTCCATATTGTACATCTCACGGTTTGCTTAGTACCCATGAGAACCTTGGCTCACTAAGAAATTGTTCCTTTAAGAGAAATAATACTTAAGTCTAGAG